GAGAGAGAGAGAGAGAGAGAGAGAGAGAGAGAGAGAGAGAGAGAGAGAGAGAGAGACACGGTTGCTGTTTTGTGGCTGCTCTGTTGTGTCAACAAGTGTGTGGTAGCGGACATCTGCTTCCTCGAAAATCATTCCTGTTCTCTATGTGTTGATGGTACTTCACAGCATTCAGCAGTGACTTGGACACAGGGTGTGGGACTGTGTGGGTGAAATCACTACCACTACTCTCGGTATGTGGGGAAAAAAATGCTTCGTTTTTTTCCTTTTTTCGGGGGGGGGGGCGGGAGGGAGAGGATGCTTCATTTCTTGTTTTTGTTCTGGGAAAAAAATTGTGCTTCGTTTTGGTCGGTTTCCGAGTCAACTGCCTTCTTAAGAGTCCAGAACTAATCTGATAATATTAATTGGTGTAATTCTGCAGCCTCCTTTATATTGGGATATCTATGCTCCTCAAGGGCTGAATTCTGCCCAGGTGGCTTTCACTTGCCACAACTTTGAGTACCAGGGTGCTGCTCCTCCCGCTTCGCTGAATGCTTGTGGCCTCCACAGCCACAGATATCATCGGCCAGATCGGATGCAAGACAACTTCGCCCCGGACAGGATAAATCTTCTGAAGGTGAGCCTTTTTGAATTTGAACTTTGAACTTTGAAGCCTATTGATTGCGTAATATTGTGTAATCATTTGCTGCTTCTTAAAAAAAAAGAGAAAAAGAAAAAAAAAGAAATCAAAGGAAAAAAAAGAAAAAGAAAAAGAAAAAGAAAAAAAGAAAAAGAAAAAGAACCTTAGGGTTCTGGCTTGTTTCCGTTCTGGGGAGTGACAGTGCGGGACCTATTCCACCGGCAAGTCAAGGAATTACAATAAGAACACCCTCACGCTCCTCCCGTTTATGGTCATCTTTCGCTGCTGTTTTGCCGGTGCCTTTTTTTTTTTTTTTTTTTTTTTTCTTCCTACTCTGTGCTACTGCCTGTGTGGAGTCAGTGTGGACAGCATGACAGGTCGCAGGTTGGTTGCTACTGCTGCCTCCGAGGATAGCCATTTTCTTTTTCTTTGTATCAAAACAAACAATGACCATTGTCGGCGTGACAGCTTGGGGATAGGTGGCTGCCACTGCCTTCCTGGGCAGTGTGTTAGCTCACAGATCCCATGCAAATTGCAGTCCCTGTACTATAGTCTGGTACGGTTACAACTATGAATGAAATTCAATGAATGAACTTGGCTGATTGTCAGAAAAAGGGCCGATCCAATAATTGTCGTGGTTTGCCTTCCATGTGAGGCAAGTTATGAGTCATGCCTGATATGCCAGAGCAGTGGCATCTTGAACAAGCATCCTTTTTTTATGTGTGTGACACTGTGTGTGGCTATGTGTGCACACTGTCACAATTATTGCAAACATGGCTATGAAATTATGAATCAATGACAGATGATTAACAGCAACGTCACAATCATTGTCACAGCTCCTTGTTGTGGATGGGAAGGTGGAGAAGAAAAGGAAGGGAGGAGAAAGAAAGGGAGGAGGAGGAAGGTAAAAAAGGCCAAAGGATGTGGAAGACAGTATTGTCATGGTATGGGGAACATGGAAGACGATATAACAGAAGGGGGGGAAATGGAAAAAGGATGGAGTTTGTGGAGTGAAAAGGCTTCCCCCTAATGTGCATTTTGGGTGGTGTCTTACTATCATGCCTGGATATCTAGGTCGCATCCGTTTGTCAGAAAAAGGTCTGGGTAAAGGACTGTCATCCATTCTCATTAACAAACTTTTCGCAGAAGTTCATGCAAACCAAAGTGGAATAGTTTGGCCCAACCATCGGTGGGCAGACCTGCTCCTTGATAGCGCCTCGAGCCAAGGGGCAGGCCTCTGTCTGTCTTGATAGCGCCTCGAGCCAAGGGGCAGGCCTCTGTCTGTCTTTTTGTCTGTTTCTCTTCTTGGTTGCTTTTCAGATTTGTTCAAATGGTTACCGGTGATAAGAAACCGCACTGAACCCCCCCAGAATAGATGGAGCATGTGTGCGGTGGTGTGCAAAAAAAAAAAAGAACTTAAAAAAAGTGAAAAATACTTGAGTGAGGACACCGCCCGGCCGTGCTGGGCACGGGGGGGCCGCCCGGGTAAACCGGCCGGGCTTAAAAACCGCCCAGAATTGGTTAAGGTAGATTATCATTTACAGTGTAATCAGTGAGGGGATTCTGCAGACTGTTGAGGGTTCAGCCTCCTGATGAGTCGGTGAAACTCCGA